ATGTACAATTCATCCATAGAGAACAAACCATCATCCACACAAAAACCATCCTTGACTCAACCCTGCAAAGTAGCTTTGACATCCACTCTAAAAACGGGCACTACTAGAAAACAGCCCTTTAATGACGCGCAAACAATAACACTCTCTGATAGAGGTCGTGCATTTGTGCATGCCCTAAAAAATAATGTCAGTTTTGCAAAATTTGAAGGATAGAAGACACGTATTTGTGCGTGCCCTAAAATTAGTGTCAGAAAAGAAAATAAAGAAAATGCGGAGGGAGCCTTTCATAAAATGTGTATCGTCTAAATGTGTCGCTTTATAACATTTTAATGAAACACGCGTTTTTAAGGCGGGATTTCACCCGCCTGTTGAATCCCAAAAATTAAACCCCCCCGTCTCTTCCAATTAGCAAGACAAAGCCCTAGGCCTTCGTCTTCATAGCCGAATCGCACCACCACCCAACCTCCGATCTCGCACCTCCAAGTGTCTCCGACCATCTTCTCCGACCATTGTTTCCTGTAGCACTACACTGATAACAAAACCCCCATCACTATTTTAGGTCACCATTCACCAACAACCTCACTATTCTGAGGCTTTAAAATCGAGTGTTCATTTGACCATAAAGTCAAAATTGAATCGCATGTTCATTCGACATAAAGTTATTGATACGGCCAACGAGGCCTCCGTCTCCAGTCTCTAGTCGAAGACACCGACGAAGCCTCCTCCTCCGGCCGGTTCCGTCTCCCCCTTCTTTCACGTTGTTTACAGGTACGATCCATCAGCCATGAGACCATAAAGCCTTGTTCTCATCTTCTACATCCAAAAACCCCCTTCTCTTTTCCATAACCTAATTAACTCTTTTCATTTCCTTCTTCAACCATGAAAGAATCGACAGAAAGCTAGGGTTCCATCAAGGAGGAAGAACACGATGCTGTGGAGATCGTCACCCAACGATCACAAGTCACGCTTTCCTATTACGTAGCCACCGTCATCACCGCTCCGGAAGAAATCCAGCCATGAAAGGTAAGACATTGACCTCTGTTTCTACACCATTATCCTTGTCTAACAAGGATGCTTGGCATAACTTTAGTTTCTCGTGAAGTCAAGTATGTAATCCTTCATTTCAAACTATCTTTCTGGACATTAAGCATTCTTTAAACAGTTTATGAGTTTTACTAATATATAGAGCAACAAGTTTTACTAATATATAAAGGCTGGCATGTTTAGATTTCTTATGAATTTTATGAATCCATTTTATTAGGTTACAGTATGATCTATCTAGCAGCACATAGGAAAAAAGAAGAAAAGTGTTGGTAAGATAGTGTCCATATCAATCCACTGTATGTCATGGGTAGCAAGAGACATGTGAGTCTCATGACCCAATAGGAAGTCTCCAAGACAGTGTTTATGGCTCCACATCCCATCTGTAGGGATAGTTTGGGAACCTGCGGATTAAATTAGTATACCTAATGGACCTACAAACTTGTATTGCTAGTATCCGCCTCTTGTTTATTTATATTATCTTCTTTCACTGTTTTGTATCCATATTTTATTTACATGCTTATCCAACTGAGTTGCAGTTTTACCAAATTGGTCATTGCAAATAGGGATAATCTTGCAGATTCAATCACTCCAAATCTGAGCCTGAAAACTCTCTCCCACGAATTAAGGGTAGTTGAACCCTATGAGGTACCTTGAGCTGAAGGGCTTGTTGTGAGGGTAGTTGTGTCTTTCGAGAAACAGCTGGAAGTGAGAAAGAAGTTTAAAGACATACTTTAGAATGTGTGCCTGTTTGGAATGTGTGTTCAGGAGTGTGGGGGCCCAAAACAACGTTGTGTGTATATCTCCTATCTTGATTCTGTAAAGTACTTTAGACATGAGAGAAAGAGTGTGAGTGGTGAATCACTTAGGACCTTTGTTTATCTTGAAATATTGGTACTTCAACTTCTTTCACTTCTCTTTTCTTTACTTTATGAACAGTTGTGTTGGTGTGTTGATGAACTTGATTAAAAGTATCTCTTTTGTTTTTTTTGCCTATGTTATGATGATCATCAGATTGGATACCTCGAGTATTGCAAGACATGGGGTTTCGCCACCTGTTATATATGGGCATGTCCTCTTTTAAAAGGAGAAGATTACATTTTTTACTGCCATCTAGAGACTCAGAGAACACCAAAGCAGGATAAGCTACGACAGTGGTACCTCTCTCTGTCTCTGCACATAAGGTGTTTGGTAAAATGCCTCAAAGAGTATGTTTTTCTGATTACAGGTTTTTTGTTTTTTTTTTTTTTTTTTTTTAATGTTGAGGTCCAAGTCAATGCTAAATAAAGTGTCGGAAGATGCTGTTGTTATGGACTACACAAATTTATACAATCAGTTTTTTGTTGCTAGTGGAGAGGGGAATACAAAGATAACTGCAGCTCGTTTGCCCTTTTTTGATAGTGATTATTGGTCAGGGGCAGCTGAAAATATAGTTAGGAAACTTGAAGTGGAAGAAACTAGTGATGGTGGATTGCAAAGCAAGCTGCCTAACAAGAGAATCTTGAAAGCCATGGGACACGATAAACCTGATGTTGCAGTCAAGGATGTGTTAGTGATGCAAAAGTTAATCTTTTTGAAGGAGCATCAACATTCTCGCACTTCATCAAATAATCAAGCTCGATCTTCACAGAGTAAGCAACTTAAATTGATCAAACTTGTGGTTTACTGATAATGGCATTTTCGTAATTTTGTCATCCCTTTCCAGGTTATGCTGACATTAAATCATACATTATAACAACTCAACTTGATCCTGGAGTCTACAAAAATCATGTTGAAGATACAACAACATCAAACTTGACTGGATTTGAATTTGTTGTTATTGGCAATTTTCATCTTGCTGGAGGCAAAATTACTGAAGGTATTATTATAACTTCTTCAATCAGACCATGATTTATGTTTCAACAACACATTTAGGTGCCTTTTTTTTACTTAATTGGATTAAGGGAATGAGTATGTGTTGATTATGAATCGTATAAAGTCCTTTTCTAAACATTTTTTTATTTGGATTATTTTAATTAATATGAATATGTGTTGATTATGAATTGTAGAAAGTCTTTGGCACCATTTAGGGCGATTGGGGATGTCACAGATTGATGAAAGGCACACTGATTTTGGGAATATCAAACAGACATTGGAAACATTTGTCTAACAAAGGTACATTTTTAAATTTTAATAAAATCATATTCATCCAGGTGGACTCAATATTATATTATATTATTAAAGGAAATCACTTTCTTACTTGTAAGTCGTAACTATTTATTTATTTGTAAATTTTAACAAAGGTTTTTATTCTTTTTTTCATTTCTTTACAACAGGCAGCTTCAGGTACTAAAGGTGGTTCAAGTGGATCCCCAATCAGTCTTCAAAGTCAAACAGAGCAGTTAGTTTGCCTTGCATCTCCTCTATCTGAAACTGGAATGCTCGTTGTTGATTCTGTAGTAAGTTTTATATTTGCAGGTGAGGAGATTCAAAACTTCCAAGACTTTATAAATGTTGTATCTAAGCTTTGTAAAGGAGGTAGGGTCCCACTGGAATATATAAGCTACACAAATCGACATAGGAGGAAGTCTGTTTTAGTTACTGTTAATCGACATGAGTGGTATGCATCCCCTCAGATTTACACTCGTGATGATAATTCTGGTCTATGGATTGGAAAGCAAGCTCTTTCTCCTGGATGCATTTTTTTTTTTTTTTTTATCTTGTGTGACAAAAGTTAATGGAGTGTTGGAGACAGTAAACAATGTCAGTGAACAGTTGGTTAATGGTGTTAAAACTGAAGATGGATCCGACACTGGAGTAAAGAAACGGAGGGTAGGTGAAGAGTTGATTATAATTTAAATTAAGAACCTAAAATTGAGAGTCGGGAAGACAAAGGTGTAAAAGATTCTCAAGGTACAATTACAACATCTGATTTTGGTTATGCTTCTGTTGCTGAGCTTGTGATAGAGCCTACTCTTGTCATGTTTCACATAAATTTACCAAAACACCCCTCCTATATGTAAATATTATTTTGACTTGTAAGGTTCCTGTTTTAAGGTTTATGTACCATCATCATGTATGCTAGATGGGGTCTTACTCACAACGTTTATTTGGAACCGGCGGAAAGGATACGAATTGGAAACAGGGTTAGCAGGACTACGGGTGGGGTATGGAGCATTTCCTTTGAGCATGATTGAGTACCTGTAGAGGGCAAAGTAACCTTATAATGTCTCTGTTGCTGCTGAACTCTCTACTTGTGCAGTATTGCAGAATCCCACTTATTTGGAGGTAATTATTTGAGACCATTACTTACAGTCACTGTTCAAAGTACATTCAGTATTGGCCTTGATAAGAAAAAATTTTAGGAGCAATTGAAAATGGATGTGACTGTTGTGTTGACTCGAGATTATTGATTGATTGATTGGCAGAAAGTAAAAGTGGCCCTGGTAGAAGAAAGAGAGAGGCTTTATATGCTTTTAAAACAAGTCTCGTTTCTAAATCTGTATCCAAGCCATTCCAATTTTATACTTTGTGAGGTCACTGTTGGAAGAGATGCTAAGAACCTAAAGGTCTCTCTCTCTCTCTCTTGTATTTTTTCAAACCCATGTTATATGGCTGCTGTGTTTGTTTGTTATGTGGTACAAGATAGGAGTTTAGGTCTATTTTTTTATGACTGAATTTGTTATATTATATGTAAATACGATATGTGGTTTTATCTCTGCCTTATGTATTAATTAATTATAACTACTAAAAAGCAAAACGGTGAGGCCAATGGGTCCCCTGTTTCTGCAGTTACAAGTCCTGATTTTGTCAATGGTGTTGTACCATGGAGCTGTAAGGGAAGATTCTATTAAAACTACTTTAGAACAGGACAACTATCAGTTTGCTAAATTAAGTGATGAATGGAATAGAACTTGTTTGACTGAAACTTATTATGTATGGTCCAGGAAATAATGCAACATAAATTGGCGTTCATTAAGACATAAGATGTGGTTGGAACTACTTTAGCACAGGACAACTATCAGTTTGATACAGATTTTGTTTTTTCAAGTATGAGTTAGATGTCTAAATAGACAAAATTGGATAACTGTGTAGAACAAAATCAATGTCATTAGTTATTTTGTAAAATTGTAAGAAAGTAAGTGCTAGTTTGTGATTTAGTAGAGTTATGTTGATGACACATGAACATGATAAATGAAGTAGGGTGCTATAATAAACAAATAAATGAAACTATGTTGCTAATTCTTGCGTTTAAACTTTTAATATTGTGTTTTTTTCTTTGTTTAAAATTTGCTAAGAGTTTTTTTTAATAGATTGTAGCCTCGGAATCCATACAAGACACTGGAGCAGTTACAAGTTCTCGGGCTGCTGAAATTGGGTTTGATATTCTAGCACAAACAATCTAGGTGTCACCTTGTTATTAAAGTTATATTTGTAAACATGTACATAAATACAAGGGCATTTTGGTCATTATACCCACATAAAAGTTTTTAAAAAAGATAAGTAACTATTTGTTGCGCTTAATTTATGGATTGATAACATTAAAAAAATCATATCTCATAGAATTTTCAAATGTACATTTCTCCTTTTGTCTTACAATTGTTATATTGAATATAGGATGATTTAGATAACATAACTCGTTTTCTAATACTAGCAAGAGAACCTATAATCCTAGGAATTGACAAGCCCCATAAGGTAATAAAAAAGATAATTTATTTTATTGTATTTTAAATCAAATTATCAAATCATATATAAACTACCCAAACAATATTCAAATTTTATTTTATCGCCTTAATTTTGCAAACGAGCATTGTGTTTACATTAGAAGAAGGCCCTAGGGTCTTGTTCAATGCTTTAGCTGTGTTTGCTCTAAGGGAGATCAACTTATCAAAAGTAAGTTATTTTTTTCACCCTTTTATTTAATATTTTTGTGATTGAATGAAAGACTTAATGAAAGTAATTGACAACCCTTTTTCTTTAAATGATGTTGTGATTGTGGGAGAGTTGTTGTGTTTTTCTCTGCTGTTAGGTAACCTTCTCAACAACAACATTATACTTAAGCAGGTGAGTAATCAAGATTAAGGGAGACTTGTAATCATGTTTGGCACTCCTTTCCAGTACACATTAAGCAGGTGGTACGCACACAAGGTGTTGGCAGAAACAAATAACATGAAATGTTTCCGGTAAGAAATAGAGTTGTATGATTATTTGTTAGTTTTATAGGAATGTATAACCAATGTTAGCAACGTATTATTTTTGTTGAACATTTGAATGATTCTTTGTATGACATTATAATTTGTGCAATTTATTTTATTTTATATTATGCAATGGATTGTATTTTTTGTATATGGTATTTTATTTCTATTATGAGAAATTAAATGCAAATTTAATTTAAAAATTAATAAATATATAATTTTTTTTAAACATTTAAATTTACGATACGCAAAAATGTGTGTCATTTTCATTTATGACATGACCTTTCTTGACAGGGGCTTTCTTGATATGCATTGCGTGTCATTAACATGCGCGTCGTAAGGTTACAACACGCGAATGCGTGTCGTCTTCCTTTATGACAAGGCCTTCCTTGATACGCATTGCGTGTCGTAAACGTGCGTCGTAATTGCGCGTCGTAAATGAGTGTCGTAAATGCGCGTCGTCTCTCTTTATGACAGGGCCTTCCTTGACACGCATTTGCGCGTCGTCTGAGCCTTTTACGACGCGCAATGAGCGTCGTAAAAGGCTGTTTTTCTAGTAGTGGGGGTAACCATAAAACTGATGAAAAATTAATATCCATTTAATCAACAGGTTAGTGAACTTACATTTCTCTTGAAAAATCACAGTACTCCAATAAGTCTTCTTATTCTTCAAGCTTATCCAAATCTGATGTAAACTTTTGATGGGTTTTGAGTATAACAACAATTCCTAAGTGTGCATGCAACCCTAATGCTTTGGATTTAGGTTTTCTCTAACTGAACATGCAAACTTGGACACAAATAGACAAAACCATAGGAAGTGTATATAATTTTGAAATCAACATATAACAAGGGTTAAGTTACATGACTTTATTGTTATATTGTAATAACATTGATTTCGTTGTAGATCTTGATGCTTGAGAACTTAGTATCACAAGTGTAATACCTCTAATGGCTCACAAACACACAATGAAAGATAATGATATGAAAGATGAGATCAAAATTCCAGTTCTAGCTTCTTCCAAAGAGTGGTTGAATTTCATAGGCCTAAGGGCTCTATTTATAGTGCACCAAGGATGCTATGGATAAGCTTAATCTCAAATGTGGTAATTATCCGCCTCATTTGATTATTCATATATGATAGGATATTCTATAAACTCTAGAATAATCTTACATATACCATCAATTTTCGTCCACCCTTCCCCTAGGAAGGTTTTGGACCCTTTTGCTACTACTCATAATTACACTTTTAGTTCCTACACTTTAATTAATTCCTTTAATCCCAAAATTAATTCCAAATTATTTTCTGATTAAATATTAATTAATAATATGATTACTAATTAATATATTATTTCCTTAACATATTAATAAATCATTTATTCCAATTTATTAATCAATTAATAATTTCTTCCTCTTCCTCAATAATCATCATGTCTAGTTTCACGTGTGAAGGCAACCCACTTGGATAAGCCTAGTAACTATAGTTGCAAGTATAACTACAAAACTGATAAGCAGTCGTAGCTCTCATAGCCTTTTATCGAACTCTGACCTACATAGTTGAGTGTCCTAAGATAAAGCATCATATAATCCTTTGTTCTGCAAGATATCATGTGAACAAATGACATGGAACAAAATTATTTTTATTGTTCAACAGTTTGTTTCCCGATTTCTTATTTGTAATGACAAAGAACTTAATCGAACACATCAATTCAGTCCTGAATGGGTTCGACACATAAGTCAACACCAAATCATCGAGGGGCTCAAGATATCACTTTTCCCCCTTAGGGAAAAAGGAACAGATAAACTTTGACTCATATGCTTGCATTATTTACTCATCATATCATGCACAACAATATGTTTTATAAAACCAAGCTACTGATGCGTTTACGCATTACCAATGCACAACCAATTGATAAACAACAACTCATATATCTTGGTTTAAATATTATATGATATTATCGTCTCAAATTACTCGTGATAAATTCCATGAAGTAATTCATTGAGCGTAGGTTGAAAACAACACCTAAATCCCCATTTCAAAAGCACTCATGAATGTTGCAGCAAACCATTGTTATGTCTAAACACTTGGACAATCTACAATCCAATTCATGACAGCCTTACTTGACTACTTACTTCCTAAGTATGATCAACTGTGGATATTTGAATAATCCAATTATCCGGGAAGTAAAACATGCGAAAGATACACAAAGATGGACCATTGGCAAAAGATAGTAAACAATACTCATAAATAAATCTCCATTATTTTATCAACAAATGTCGAATACATTTATTTGTTACAAGTTTCTAAATAATTATCTAATCACTAAAACTAATATCAGCCTTCAGACCAATGCTCCTTGTGTATTGAACGTGCTTAATCCTACTAAGACCCTTTGTAAGGGGATCGACAAGATTCTCATCTGATGATACCCTCTTAACGACGAGACTTCTTTCTTCTACACGATGTATGATAAAGTGATATTTTATGTCGATATGTCTAAATCTACCATGATCTCTTGGTTCCTTGGTCAAGCCACCCGCTACTTCATTATCGCAGAAAATTTCCATCGGCTCCTTGATGGCTGGTACTACTCCAAGGTCTTCAATAAAGTTCTTCAACCATACTGCCTCATTCAACGCTTCGCTCGCAGAAATATACTCTGATTAACATGTACAATCAGCCACGGACTACTACTTGGAATTTTCCAAGTCACTACTCCTCCATTAAGGAAAAACACCCAGCCAGATTGAGAACAGAAGTTGTCTCTGTCTGTCTATAAGCTGGAATCATTATACTCAATAACTCTTAAATCATCACTACCACCAAGCACAAGGACTCGGTCCTTAGTGTTGGATTAATGTCTAAGTCCATAACTATAATTGGTAAGACTTGACCCGACCCGACCCGGGATGCTCCATTTGGGTTGCATGGCATGATGCATTTGGATAGACTAAAATGAGAGAAATAACACTTAAGGTTTATTAATATATTATAAGTTCTAATATATTAATAAGGTTATTTAATTAGTATTGATCAAGAATTAATTTGGAATTAATTAAGTGATCAAAAGGAGACTAATTAAATATATAGGTTGATTGTGTAAATCATTCATTCTTTTATATGTGGGCTTGGGATCCAAGATTCCTTACGTTGGACTAAGTCCATGGGGTGACCCATGGATACTCCATGGAGGTTAAAATACATGGAACATAAGGAATGGCTAAAGTTGTGAGTTACATGGTGTAACCCTAATAGCCACCATATAAAAGAATCCCATGGCTCAAGAAATCGGTGACTATGTGTAATAGAAATGGCTAGCCGATTTCATGAAGTGTGTATGTTCTCTCAATCTATTCCAAGTGTATTTGGTGTTTCTTGAACCATTTGAGGTGTCACAGTTGGGGCACTAGGTACTCAAGCTTTATGAAGACAATCTACATCAAAGAGGTATGTAATTTTAACTTGATATATTCATTTGAATCAATGTTATTATGCTAGTTAGGATGAATACCTTGGAAAGTTCATATTTTCATGTATAATAGAGAAAACATAGATCCAAGGTATTTAGGGTTGCATGTACACTTAGGAGTGTTAGAATGCTCAAAACCTAACAGTGGTATCAGAGCCTAGGCTTGTTTCCAATTATACTTAATGCAAATTGCTGAAAAATGCTGAAAAAAATCGATTTTCTGGCTTTCTGTGCACTAGACTCGCCGAGTCCATGAAGAAAATCATCCTACTCGTCGAGTTGGTTGATACACTCGATGAGTAGGAGCCCCAGACAGCATATTTTCGATTTTTTGGCTAGAAATGGACTAGGAAACATTACCCTAAGCTGCTTTTGGACTTATAAACTTGTTTTTGATGTGGTAATGTTGATGCTAATCCAATTTCAAAGATAATTGTAATTAGATTCATGTTTTGTATTAGTTTAGTCATTAGGTGTAACACCAAAAATTTTCAAAACAAAATTTTCAATTTTTATAAAACATAATTCCATTGATATTCATTAAACAACCATTTTAATTATCCAAACAAGACAATACAAAATCCCAAGATCATGATATCAAGCTCCGAATGTGTGTGTGTACGGATCAAGCCGGCGCCTTCCCGCGGTCGTCACTAGTACCTGAAACAATAACATCAACACTGTAAGCACAAGGCTTAGTGAGTTCCCCAAAATACTACATATAACACATATTAGCCACTCGAGGCTATAACTCTGTGGGTCCGTGCACCCAAACTCTGTGAACCCTCAGGTTCTAACTCTGTGAACCTTCCGGTTCTAACTCTGTAAACATGCAAAACATCAAACACATAGAAGTAATGCAGTACAACACATAACATACATAGCATACAAATACTCTATCACATAACTCTGGTTACCTACTCAAGGTAAAGTATAGTGAGAAGACTCACCTCGCGTGTCTCGGTAAATCGTAAACCTGAAATCGCTAATCACTCGACCTGTCGAGCTGTCGTCCCCCTATAGCACAATACACCTCTAATTAACACTTTCCCACTAGGGTTGACCACACTATAACAAGTCAATCTAGGTCAACGCTGGTCAACGGTCAACGGTCAACTTTGACCGGACTCGGCGAGTACCAGGCGACTCGGCGAGTCTGGGCGTATACACCAATTTCCCTGGAATCCTCCCTTGACACGTCGAGCATTCCCTCAACTCGACGAGTTCCACCTGGCACGAGTTGTGGGGCCACCACGACTCAACTCGCCGAGTCTCAAGAACAACTCGGCGAGTCCAGTTAGACTCAGTCCACCTGTCCATTCTGACTCCCCCTTGACTCACTGAGTCCACCTTTCCCAACTCGACGAGGCCACTCAAGTGTGGTCGGGCAAAATTCATGCTACTCGCCGAGTCTGTTCTTCGGACTCGGCGAGTCCATGCCATG